ATGTGGGATCTTCCCGGACCGGGGCACGAACCCGTGTCCCCTGCATCGGCAGGCGGACTCTCAACCACTGCGCCACCAGGGAAGCCCTTTCTTTTTTTTTTAAATTGAAGTATAGTTGATTTACAATGTTGTGTTAGTTTCAGGCATACAGCACAGTAATTCAGTTTATACACATATATAAATATGTTATATATATATAAATATATATTATATATATAATATATATATAAATATATATATATAACATATTGTTTTATATATATATAATATATTGTTTTTCAGATTCTTTTCCCTTATAGGTTATTATCTTATTCCCTTCTTTCCACAAAAGCTAGTATAAATTATAAATACATTATTCTATACCTTGTTTGGGAGATCTTTTCATATCAGGGCTTCTTTTTTTTTTTTTTCTATTACAGATTTTTCCATTGTATGAATGTACCTTAGTTTATTGAATCAGCCCTGAGTTTAATGGACATTGGAGTTCAGTGTTTCTATAAATAACCTGTGTATGTGGTCCTTTAGGCCTACGCAAGCTATCTCTGTTCAGTAAATTCCCAGAAGCAAAATTGCTGAGCCAAGGAATAAATTAATTTGTAATTTTCACAGATACTGCCTATTTGCACTCCATCAAGGTTGTGCTTGTGTCCTCTCAGCCTTGTCAACAGAAGGTATCATCAAACTTTTGGAAATTTGCTCGTCTCATAGGTAAAAAATGGTAGCCGTCTCTGAAGCATTTCCTCTAGTAGGACCTGTGTTACATCAGATGTGTTTAGGACCTTTCCACTCCTGCTGTTCCCCACCCTTCCCCCCACCTTGGTTCAGGTCTTTACAAGGCTCTCACCCGGTGTGGGAATCACACCAGGATTTGGGTGTCATGGACTGGCCCTGGAGCAGATCTAGTTTCAAGCCCCGTTCCACCACCTACAAGCCCAGTAATGTCTCGTACATGGCTAACTCTTTTTGAGGTTCTGTTTCTTCATCTTTTTCTTTTTCTTTTTTTTTTTTTAATTTTTTTTGGAGTAGTGTTGATTTACAATGTTGTTTCAGTTTCTGCTGTACAGCAAAGTGATTCAGTTATACATATACTTATATCCACTCATTTTTAGATTCTTTTCCCATATAGGTCATTTTAGAATATTGAGTAGAGTTCCCTGTGCTATACAGTAGGTCCTTATTAGTTACCTATTTTATTGTTTCTTCATCTTTAAAATGGAAATTCCCTCATAGGGCTGTTTGAGAATCAAGTGCGATACCCATGAGTGAGATGCACACATAAGAATGTCTGGTAGGTCCCAGAAATGGCCTCCAAACATTGAGCACATCAGATAGAATTTTCACATGTCAAACGGAAGGATTAGATATAACGTGCTGGGAAGGAGCAGCCCCCACCCCAGAGATGGCTGGGCCCGTGGCGTGACTGAGGCTCATTCACCTGTCTTAGCCCTTGGTTGTCTCTCCCTCCTCCCGCAGACCAGCCAGCCTTCTCTTTGTCATGTGCCTCGCCTTTATCTTTCATGAGTCTTGTGATTGGAAAATTCCAGCTTAAGGTCCCTGAATCAGTGATCATCCACCCTGCATGGGAAGTGTTGTCCTGGGTATTCCAGGGGGACTCAAGGGAAGAGGGTCAGGATGTACAGACCAACACTGGACAGTGATGTGAGGAAGAGGCAGACACCACCACACACACACACACATACACACACATGCACGCACACACACACACACACACACACACACAAGCAGGCAGCCAGCGCCATCATTCTTAGAGCTGGGCTGGAAGTTTGTCTTGGAGCATTCACAGAGACCAGCATTTCTTAGAGTATATGTTTTAAGGGTAAAGATTCTCACCAACACGTAAGGGTTTGCTTAAGTTGTTGTGTTACTTAAATGTATATAACTTAAAATTAGGCATAAACACGTTGTGCTTAAAACTCTTACAACTATAAAGTCAAAACATCTACAAACTGGGAATTCCCTGGTGGTCCAGTGGTTAGGACTCTGCACTTTCACTGCCAGGGCCCAGGTTCAATCCCTGGTCGGGGAACTAAGATCCCACAAGCCTCTCTGTGTGGCCAAAAAAAAAAAAAAAAAAGAAAAAATCTACAAATTAAACATGAAACGCAAAACCCATAACATTCCAAATGAAACTTATTAATGTTTTGCAGAAGCCAAATTACAGTTTGCCTTGTGAAGAGAGGATTGACTGTCCCACAGCTTCTTTTGTGTTCATTGGGTCTAAATTATAATTATATCCTGAATTATAATTATAATTATATCACGCATAGGTACAGTCTAGTGGTAAAAAGTGTGGACTCAGGAGCCGGACTGTCTGAGCCCTCCATCAACCAGCTTTGCCATCTCGGGCAAGTTACTCAACCTTTCTGACCTTGATGTCCTCATCTGTAAAATGAGGATAAGAATGCTTCAAAGGAATGCTGGGGAGATGAAATGAATTTAGATCTGTCAAATGCTTAGAGCAGTGTCTGACACAGCATGCATGCTCACTGGGTGGTGGTGTCATTTTACTACTGTGTACCTGTGACATCCGTTCTCCTACTGCTTTCCCTCACATACACTGCTGCAAAACCTTGGTTAGTAATATTTGTCAGAGGTCATTGTCATGAGGCCTTCCCTTGGCGGAAATGATTCTTAGCATGTGCAGCCTACCTCTTTGCTTTTTTTTTTTTTTTTTAGCGGTACGCGGGCCTCTCACTGTTTTGGCCTCTCCCGTTGCGGAGCATAGGCTCCGGATGTGCAGGCTCAGCAGCCATGGCTCACGGGCCCAGCCGCTCCACGGCATGTGGGATCTTCCCGGACCGGGTCATGAACCCGCGTCCCCTGCATCAGCAGGCGGACTCTCAACCACTGCGCCACCAGGGAAGCCCTCTTTGCTTTTATTAGTGGCTCTTGACTGCCAAATAATACTGTGTATCACCAACACAATGGTCCGCATGGTCAGGAAGACCGCAGGCTCAGGATCACTTGTCAGGGGTACTTTATAAGGTGGCCATTCAGATTCTCCAGGCCATGCTTTTAATTTACTTCATACATAAGTATTTATAATACATATACTTTTTATCCAGATTGTTCTCTAAATGAAAGCACAAAGTTTAAAAATTTTCGAATAGAGGACTTCCCTGGCAGTCCAGTGGTTAAGACTCTGCGCTTCCAATGCAGGGGGGTTCTGGGTTCAGTCCCTGGTTGGGGAACTAAGATCCCACATGCCGGGCGGTGCAGCCAAAAAAAACAATTTTCGAATAGAAAGGTTTTGGGAAACACGGCCCTGAACCAGACCAAAGTGGAAGGACTGTAGTGGTTTCAGTTTCATTTCTTTTCCTTCCCCCTCCCCGTTTCATTTCTATGTTTCATTTTCCTCAAAATTTTTTAAATTGTTCTTTCTTTTGCCTTTCCTTCAAAATCTCATCTCTAGCCCTTTTTTCCACTTGATGTACGTGTCTCTTATTCTCACTGGGTCCTTCACCAATTCTGGTGAAGCTCTGTGAGCTTCATTTCACCTTGACCTGGGTTTTTTGTTTTTTGGGGGTTTTTTGGCCGTGCCCTGCAGCTTGAAGGATCTTAGTTCCCTGACCAGGGATTGAACCCCTGCCCCCTTCAGTGGAAGTGCAGAGTCCTAACCACTGGACTGCCAAGGAATTCCCCTCGATCTTGGTTTTGATTTGACAGAAGCTCTAATTGATCACACAAGCTTCTTGCTGTTTGGTGACATTTCTCTAAGCATTAAGTCACTCACTTATCTAACACCCAGTCTACGCTTGTCATTAAAATCTTTCTTATAGGTTAGGATTTACTTCTAATTGGTAACCGTTTTGGTGACGCTAGTGAGTATTTCAATAAATCTGTTCCTTTCCTTACATGTTTATGTTTGTGTACACGGAGGCTAAGCAGTCTTATCAGTGATAATGAGGTTAACATTTATTGATCACTTTGTGCCAGACACTGTGCTAAGCACTTTACTTGCATTATGTCATTTAATCTTTGTCACAGTCATAAAAGATGGGTGCTGATACCACATCCATTTTCCAGTTAAGGGAATTAAGTCCATGAACATAATGTTCACATTGTGGGGCCCACAGCCGTGTGTTAAGCAAGGCCAGGTGGACTCGGGAGCCCCTGCTTTTAATCACTCACCACACCACCTCCCGGGAGCCCATGAGGAGCCGGGACCTCACAGAGGACCTTGTAAAAAGTCTGACACCCTAGTTCATATCAGAAGGGGGCCCTGTGGTTTGGGCACATATAAGTGGTTAGCAAATGCCCCTCCTCCTCTGCCTTTGGAAACTGCCCCTTTCTTTCCAGAACTCATCATTGCCTACTCGCTGCAAATTGCACTCTTGGATTTTTTGTGGATCTGTTTTTAGAGTGTGGCTTTTAGAGCAAGAGCGAGTCCCCACCTGCGTCCCCCCTGTAACTATTCCACAAACACATTTACAGCTTTCTCTGAGAGGTCATCTGTTTGTTTATCAAGATATGATTCACATACCACATTCACCATTGTAAAGTGTACTGTTCAGTGGTTTTCAGTATATTCACAAAGTCGTGAATTCAACATCTACTGCTGTCTACTTCAAGAGCATTTTCATTATCCTGTAAGGAAGTCCCTTACCCATTAGCTATGAATTTACCTTTTCTGGACATTTAATATCAATCGAGTCATACAATATGTGGCCTTTTGTGACTGCCTTCTTTCACTTAGTACAATGTTTTCAAGGTTCAACCACGTTATATAGCACATATCATGGGCAAATAATATTCCATTGTATGGATATATTACAATTTGTTTATTTATTCATCAATTAATAGACTTTTTTCCCACTTTTTGGCTATTATGATTAATGTTGCTGTGAGCATTCATTTACAAGTATTTTGTGTGGACATATGTTTTGAATTCTTTTGGGTAAATACCTAAGAGCAGAATTACTGAGTCCCGTGATAACTCTATATTTAACTTTCTGAGCAACTACCAAATGTTTTCCACAGGGGCTGCACCATTTCACATTTCCACTGATAATATATATGTGTTCCAATTTCTCCACATCTTTGCCAGTACTTATTATTCTCTCTCTTTTTTTTTTTTTTTTTGCGGTACACGGGCCTCTCATTGTTGTGGCCTCTCCCGTTGCGGAGCACAAGCTCCGGACGTGTAGGCTCAGCGGCCATGGCTCACGGGCCCAGCCGCTCCGCGGCATGTGGGATCTTCCTGGACCAGGGCACAAACCCGTGTCCCTTGCATCGGCAGGCGGACTCTCAACCACTGCGCCACCAGGGAAGCCCTCTCTGTCTCTTTTATTATAGCTATCCTGTTGGGTGTACAGTAGTATCTCATTGTGGTTTTGATTTGTATTTCACTATTGTCTAATGATTTTGAGCACTTTTTCAAGTCTTCATTGGCCGTTTATATATCTTCTTTGGAGTAATGTCTATTCAAATCCTTTGCCTATTTTTATTTTTTATTCATTTATTTTTTGAAAGCATTGTGCTTTTTTTCTTTTTAAAAATTTTTTTTTGAATTTTATTTTTTTATACAGCAGGTTCTTATTAGTTATCCATTTTATACATATCAGTGTATACATGTCAATCCCAATCTCCCAAATCATCCCACCACCACCCTACCACCACCACCACCACTTTCCCCCCTACGTTTGTTCTCTACATCTGTGTCTCTATTTCTGCCCTGCAAACCAGTTCATCTGTACTATTTATTTATTTTTGGCTGCGTCGGGTCTTAGTTGTGGCACATGGGCTCTTTGTTGCGGCCCACGGGTTTCTCTCTACTTGCAGCACGTGGGCTTAGTTGCCCTGTGCCATGTGGGATCTTAGTTCCCTGACCAGGGATCAAACCTGCGTCCCCTGCATTTTAAGGCGGATTCTTAACCACTGGACCAGCAGGGAAGTCCCGTCCTTTGCCTGTTTTTAAATTGAGTTATTTATCGTTGAGTTGTAAGAGCTCTGTATATTCTGGGTACTAGACTCTTATCAGATATATGATAATATTTGCACATTTTATATGCAAATATTTTTATTATATTTTTTATTAGTCACTTATGCATTAGATGTCATATCTAAGAAACCATTGCCTGATCCAAAGATATGAAGCTTTACACCTCTTTCCTTCTAAGAGTTTTATAGTTTTAGCTCTTACCTTTAGGTCTTTGATCCATTTGGGGTTAATTTTTTTATATGGTGTGAGATGAGTCCAACTTTATTCTTTTGCATCGAACTATTCACTTATCCCAGCACCATTTGTTGAAAGGCTATTCTTTCCCCACTGAAATATCTCAGTACCTCTGTTGAAAATCAGTTGCCCAGAAATGCATGAGTTGGTCACCTCTTCTTGTCTAAAATGTCTTAAAATGTTGTTTGGGGTTATGATGGTGTAAATAAGAGCAGAGATCACCTAGAAGACAATCAGATGAAAACTTGAGTTCTAAAATCCTCTTTTCCATAACCGCATTAAGGGGAGTTTGATGTGTCTTCTGCACCCAGTCTAAGCCATTAGGGCAGATATGTGCGATGGTGAGATCTCTTGGGCTCCAGACAGCTTTCTTGCCACCAGAACCTGCATTTGCCCATGATGTCCTCACTGGATTCATAAGCAGAGGTGGAGACAGCAAATAGGTTTACTTCAGAAACAGAACTTGGATTCTCGGAAGCCTCAGGAGAGGGAGGGAGGAGCAGCTACTAGCCAGTGCACATTTCAGAAGTCCCAGAACACTGTGTGTGTGTGTGTGTGTGTGTGTGTGTGTGTGTACACAAAGGCAGTGGCATTGGCTCCCCTGGCCCCAGACACACCACTGAGGGACAGAAAGTGCCAGTCCCACCAGGAACACATCCCCGTGTACACGGGCACACATACTGCACAGCTTGTATGCACTGTGCTCCAGCAGCAGCTTCTGGGGATTTGAGGCTTCTCTGGATCCACACCCAGCCCCTCACCCCGACCCTGCTGCCCAGTTACTGTTCCAGGAACAATGCGGGTCCTCACTTCACCCAAGCCTGTGTCCCAGGGAGCGGAGTCTTGGAGCCCAGCTCTGAGACATGCTGTTCACTGAGGCACTGCTGAGGTTGCCTTGGGGCAGGGACTGGCCACACAGCTGTTTGGCTGAGCCAACTCTTCAGGCCCACAGTTAGCCTGTTCAGAGGGTGAAAGGCAGTCAGTTCCCATTTGCCTCTAGTCCTTTGCTTTGTGAACTTTGTCAGCTGAGATCCTGGGCCGCACAACTCACCTGCCTACCCAACCTGCCCGAGTCCCAACTGGGGAGTAACTTTGGTGGGAGTGTCTGTGCGTGTGAGCTGGGAGCACAGCGATGATTAAGGGGGTGGGGATTGTTATGTTTTGTTTTTTGTTCAATCACAAAACAGCAGTTTTCCACTTAGCCTTGGGCATTCTAGCTGACAAGCCCGTCATACAGGTTTCTTTGTTTAAAAACTTCCAGGGTGTTGTCCGAATTCAGCAAAGCCCAGGTAAACTCTGTGCCAACCAACAGACTGAGCCAAGAAGCGGAGGTTCCCACGCTGCAGGCCTTGCTCGCCCTCCGCGGCCTGGACACCAGCACACCCCTGCACTTTGAGGTACCTCCAGAGCCCCGCCCCGCCCAAGCATCCCCTGGGACTCGAGATGGGGACCACAAGCGGGAGCCGCTTTCCCAGGCACCTGGCGCCCTGGGCTGGCCACAGCCGGGCAGTGCCCAGGCTGTCCCTTTGGGGAGCGCTTCAGGCCAGCAGCCTCCTAGTCCTGTGAGGGAGGCGACAAGAGCAGTCAGCCAAGGAAGTGGCCAGTGGAAGCCTCCGGAGGAGGATGGACCTCGGCTGAGCCTTGTGGTTCCCTCACCCACCAGTCCGGTGAGTGGTACAAGCTGGGTTTTTTTGGGGGGGTGTTGGTGAATGTTTAAGAGGCGGTGCGGGGTTTCTCCAGCTAGTGACCCCGAGTGGTCTCTGCCTTTTCCCCCTGAGCCTCTCGCCCTGCGTGGTTTGGTATTAATAGCATTGTGGTGATGGAGCTCATGTTCCTTGGGGTGTGAGTGGTGGATGTGAGCCAGGCTGTGCGCCCATCTCTTCCTATGGGTGTCTCCTGTCATCTGCACATGGACCCTGTGGAGAAGCTAATTCTCACCCAACTGCAGACTCTCTTCTCTTAACCCCTGCCACTCAGGGGTTATGCCTTTATGCCTTAGCCGAGGCACTTCACCTCACTGAGCTTTGGTTTCCTCCTCAGTACTTGTTATTATTAAATTAACATTTTCATAAAGGACCAGGCTTTGAAAATACTCATTTTGCAACACGAAGCAGATTTCGAGCTGCACTGTCCACTTGGGCAGCCACTAGCCACATGTGGCTCTGGAGCACTTAAAACATGGCTCGTCCAAATTGAGATAAGCTGAGTAAAATAAACACTGGATTTTGAAGACTTAGTAGGAAAAAAAGAATGTAAAATGTGTCATTCATAATTCGGTTATTGATCATGTTAAAATGAAAACATTTAAAATATGTATTTTAAATAAAATATATTATTAAAATTAATTTCACCTGTTTTTTTAAACTTTTTAAAATGTGGCCACTAGAACGTTTAAGGTGACCTATGTGGCTTGCATTGTATTTCTGTGGGACAGCACTGTTCTAGAATAAGCCAATCCAGTGTGTTGATGACCCGAGGAGGCCAGCCCTGGGACTGTCCTGGAGAGAGCCCCGAGGGTAGAGGCTGGAACTGTGGGCCCCGGGAAGCAGTAGTCAAGCTGTGAACCCAAGCTCTTGTGCCATTTCACATTTGTTCTTGGGTCATGAAAAGCAGAAGTAGGAATCGGAGTGCACGTGGACACAGACACATAAAACCCAGAGCTCATCCTAGCTGCTGTCTGGGGCTTATGTTGGGGGTATAGCCTTGCTCTTTCAGTTCCATCCACACACATCTCTCCTTTGGCCTGTAGCTTTCAGATCCTGTAACTCAGGATGGGCCAGCACCATGAAATAGACTATAGAAGAGGCATCTCCACTCTCTGTTTGTAACAGCTTTATTGTGATATAGTTCACATACCATACAATTTACCTAATTAAAGTGTGTAATTCAATTTGTTTTAGTATATTCACAGATTTGTACAACCATCACCACAGTCTAATTTGAAAACATTTTCACCTCCCATAAAAGAAACCCCCTACCCATTAGCAATCACTCCTGTCCCTTTCCCCTCCTACCTCACCCCGCTCAACCCCTGGTAACCACTAATCTCCTTTGTCTATAGATTTGCCTGTTCTGGACATTTTACATAAATGGAATCATGTAATATGTGACATTTGTGATTGGCTTCTTTCAGTTAGCAAAATGTGTCATCCTTCATCCATGTTGTGGCCTGTATCAGTATTTCTTTCCTTCTCATTGCTGAGCAGTATCCCATTGTAGATTTCATTAGATGGATGTATCACATTTTATTTATCCATTAATAAGTTAATGAACATTGGCGTTTTTCCTACTTTTTGGCTATTATGAGTAATGCTACTGTGAACATTCATGTATAATTTTTTGCTTGGACATATGTTTTTAACTTTTTTGGATGCATACCTTGAAGTAGAATTTTGGGCTCATATGGTAGCTATATATAACCTTTTGAGGAACTGCCAAGAGCAGCTGCCTTGTTTTATATTTCAGCCAGCAGTGCATTCCTCTGCATCCTCACCAACAGTTCTTACTGTCTGTTTTTCTTGTTTTTGCTTTTATTATAGCCATCCTAGTGGGTGACAAGTGGTATCTCATTATGGTTTTGATTTGCATTTCCCTGATGACTAATGATACTGAGAATCTTTTCATCTAAATGCTTGTTGCCATTTGGGTGTTTTCTTTGGAGAAATGTCCATTCAAAACATTTGCCCATTCTTTTTTTTTTTTAACAGATTACAGTTGTCACAGACTTTTTTTTTTTTTAACATTTCTATTGGGGTATAATTGCTTTACAATGGTGTGTTAGTTTCTGTTTTATAACGAAGTGAATCAGTCATACATATACATACGTTCCCATATCTCTTCCCTCTTGCGTCTCCCTCCCTCCCACCCTCCCTATCTCACCCCTCCAGGCGGTCACAAAGCACCGAGCAGATATCCCTGTGCCATGCGGCTGCTTCCCACTAGCTATCTACCTTACTTTGTTAGTGTATATATGTCCATGCCTCTCTCTCGCCCTGTCACAGCTCACCCTTCCCCCTCCCCATATCCTCAAGTCCGTTCTCCAGTAGGTCTGTGTCTTTATTCCTGTCTTACCCCTAGGTTCTTCATGACATTTTTTTTTCCTTAAATTCCATATATATGTGTTAGCATACGGTATTTGTCTTTCTCTTTCTGACTTACTTCACTCTGTATGACAGACTCTAGGTCTATCCACCTCATTACAAATAGCTCAATTTCGTTTCTTTTTATGGCTGAGTAATATTCCATTGTATATATGTGCCACATCTTCTTTATCCATTCATTCGATGATGGGCACTTAGGTTGTTTCCATCTCCGGGCTATTGTAAATAGAGCTGCAATGAACATTTTGGTACATGACTCTTTTTGAATTTTGGTTTTCTCAGGGTATATGCCCAGTAGTGGGATTGCTGGGTCATATGGTAGTTCTATTTGTAGTTTTTTAAGGAACCTCCACACTGTTCTCCATAGTGGCTGAACCAATTCACATTCCCACCAGCAGTGCAAGAGTTTTGTTTTTTTTTTAATATTTATTTAGTTATTTATTTGGTTGCACTGGGTCTTAGTTGCAGCATGCGAACTCTTAGTTGCGGCGTGGGATCTAGTTCCCCCACCAGGGATCAAACCCGGGCCCCCTGCACTGGGAGCGTGGAGTCTTATCCACTGTGCCACCAGGGAAGTCCCTGCCCATTCTTAAATTGGGTTATTTAATAAATTGAGTTATAGTTCTTTATATATTCTGGACACTAGACCCTTATTAGATAAATGATTTGCAGATTTTTCTCCCATTCTGTGGGTTGTCTTTTCACTTTCTTGATTATATCATTTGAAGCAAAAAGTTTTAAATTTTGCTATTGTCTGTCTTTTCTTTCATCACTTGTGCTTTTGGTGTCATATCTAAGTACTCATTTCCTAATCCAAGGTCGTGAAGGTTTACTCCCATGTGTTCTAAAAATTTTACATTTTCATCTCTTACATTTAAATCTATGATCTAACTTCATTTTTTTGCATGTGGTTATACAGCTGTATGAGCACCATTTGTTGAAAGACTATTATTTCCCCATTGAATTGTCCCACTTTTCCCCTTTAAAAATTTTTTGAGGAATGGTGTATTTTAAAGTACCCAGAGCCTCAGTGTACACCTCAGTGAATAATTACATATCATATACACTCTGTAACCACCATCCAGATCAAGAGACAGAACATTTCCAGCCACCAGAAGTTTCCCTCATGCCTTCTGCCACTCACTGCCCTGCTCCAGAGGAAACCACCATTCTCACTTCTAGTCCATAAAGTTTGTCCTGTTATTGAACTTCGTATAGATGGAATCATACAGTATGTACTCTTTTACTTTTTTCACTGAACACTATGTCTGTGAGATTCATCTGTACCTGTAGCCTGAAGCTCTAGTTTGCTTTTTTCCATTGTTCTGTAGTATTCCACTGTAAGAATATATCACAACATAGTTATCCATTCTCCCATTAACAGACGTTTGGGTTGTTTTCAGGTTTGGGCTATTATGAAGAAAGCAGCTGTGAGCATTCTTGTACTTGCCTTTCAGTGAACCTGTGTACTCATTTCTGGGTGTACATCTAAGAACGGAATTGCTAGGTCACTGGGTAGGCATATGTTTAGCTCTAATAGATACTGCCAAACGGTTTTCTAAAGTGCTTGTGCTAACATATACTCAGCAGTAGCAATATATGAGCATTTTCATTGCTATTTATCATAGTCAATGGTATTATCCATCTTTTACATTTTGGCCACTCTAGTAGGTGTGTAGTGGTATCTCACCATGGTTTTAATTTGCATTTCGCTGATGACTAATGATATTGATACCTTTTCATTTGCTTTGTGGAAGCATCCTTTAAAGTCATTGTCTCATTCTTTTTTTTTAAACATCTTTATTGGAGTATAATTGCTTTACAGTGGTGTGTTAGTTTCTGCTTTATAACAAAGTGAATCAGCTATACATATACATTTATCCCCATATCTCCTCCCTCTTGCATCTCCCTCCCACCCTCCCTATCCCACCCCTCTAGGTGGTCACAAAGCACCGAGCTGATCTCCCTGTGCTATGTGGCTGCTTCCCACTAGCTATCTATTTTACATTTGGTAGTATTTATAAGTCCATGCCACTCTCTCACTTTGTCCCAGCTTACCCTTCCCCCTCCCCATGTCCTCAAGTCCATTCTCTACGTCTGCATCTTTATTCCTGTCCTGCCCCTAGATTCTTCAGAACCACTTTTTTTTTTAAGATTCCATATATCCGTGTTAGCATATGGTATTTGTTTTTCTCTTTCTGACTTACTTCACTCTGTATGACAGACTGTAGGTCCATCCACCTCACTACAATTGTCTCATTCTTAAATTGAGTTGTATGTGTTTTCCTTATTGATTTGTAGGGGCTCTTTATGTACTGTGGATGTGTCTTTTACTGGAGAAAAATATATGTTTATAGCAAATATCTTCTTACAGTCTATGGCTGGCCTTTTAAATCTCTTAATGGTATCTTTTGTTGAAGAGAAGTTCTTAATTTTTAAAATTTATTTATTTATTTATTTACTTTGGTTGTTCCGGGTCTTAATTGCGGCACATGGGGTCTTCACTGTGGCATGTGGGGTTTTTAGTTGCAGCATGTGGACTTTTTAGTTGTGGCATGCATGCAGGA